GGCTGAAAACAGGATAATCACTATGAGTTCAATCTGTGTAGTGAACCTCTGCAGACCCTGTACTAAACACATTTCTAAAAAAAGAAATTTGAGGAGAAGTTTGCCCAACCCCACAAGGTTTGCATTCTGTATGTCACTGTTCATATACATGAACAATGCTAAGGTCTCCTGGCATTGAAAGTAGGAGGTGGGCCCCTTTGCATCCTCCAAGTGATAGCTAAACATTGTGAAATGAATTCCAATGAACCAATTCCCCAATGGCCCTTCTCAAGCAGAGTGCCCTAGCACTCTCTTCTCAAAGCAAAGGTCTTAAAGGCATTTATTTACCTTTACTGTTTTACACCACTGAGTCTGGAAAGCACACTTCAATATGCCTTCAAGCTACCTTTTCTATTATTCCGATGCAAAACATCTGGCTTTCTTTTAATACTAATTTCAGCAATCATACTCTTCTTCTGCCACAACTTTACAGGTTCTTCCTTGATAGTCAATGACTTTTTGCTCCTGATTTCTCAAAGAGGAACCAGGGTTCAATCCCCAGTTCTGTATGCCACGCTGGCCCCACCCCCAGAGCACACAGAGCCAGCCACTGAGTCCAGGTGTGGTGGCACACACCTGTAATCCCAGCACTGGGAAGGCTGAAAACAGGAGGATTACTATGAGTCTAAGATGTGTTGTGAGACCCTGTACCAAATACATAAATGGAAAAAAAAAAAAAAAAGAACCAGTAACTAAGAGGGCTGGGGAGATAGTTCAGAAGTCTAAGCACCTGCCTGGCAAGCAAGTGCAATTACCAAATTCAATCCCCAGTATTACATGCCATGCCAGTCCCAGAACCCAGGGTGTGCCATGCCAGCTCCAAAACTGGGTGTGGTAGCACAAACCTATAATCCCAGCAATGGGTAGGCTGAGAAAGGAAGATCACTAGGAGTATGAACTGTGTAGCAAGACCCTATAACAAATAATTAAAAACAAGGAATGACTAAGAAAATTGGTCACAACACTAAGTTTCTCTGGTCACCTAACTCTCTAGAATCACCAAACTTTTGCAAATCAGTTCAAGGTGTAGTCACAGCAATGTCCCCACTCCAATATCCTAATGCCAATTGTGTATTAGCTTTCTTGTAGTCATAAAAGTACCTGACATCTAAAACAATAAATAAAAATAAAAGTACCTGACATCTATAACTGGCTCCAAGGTAGAGAAAGAATGGCAAAAAGACAAAAAAAAAAAAAAAAAAAAACTTTATGGCAGCCAGAAAACAAAAAAGGAGGAGCCAGAGACAAGAACACACCCTTCTTAGTCATACTCCTAGTGGTCCAACTCTTTTGACCAGATCCTACTTCTGAATATGAAACTTTTAGGGACACTGCAGAGTTGAAATGTCCTAAGGGCAATATATGGAATTCAATTTTTAAAAAGTCCTTGAGATACCAAAAAAGAAAGATTTAACGATCAAACAAAAAAGAAAAACAGAAAGAAAAAAGGTGACAGGAGTAGAGAGAGAAAGAGAAAAAGAGAAGGAAAGAAAAGAGTGGAAGGAAGGTTGCCAGACAGCAGGACAATGAAAGCAGCAGAGACTTAATATTTTGCTGATAGTTTCCATTTCATAAAAGCTGCTCTGATGATGTATGGTAGTGATGAATGTAAAATGACATGAAATTAATATGAATGATCTATACACTGAGATACAATTAAAATAGTAAATTTTGTTATGTGTATTTTACCAGTTTTAAAAGAAACAATATAAACAAACCTTGAAGTCAATGAAGTAGACAGAAAATATCTACAAAAAACACTAATGATTAATGTATTTTTAAAAAGATAAAAAACACAATTTTTTCAAGATGAGATAGCCAGAGAATTGGAAACTTAAAACCCAAATGAAAATTTTAAGAGGAAATAATATGAGATTAAAGACAAGAATTTTGTAGGTAACTTTAAAGCAAATTAAAGACAGCAAGAAAAAAAAAAAAAAAGACAGCAAAGGCCAAATTAAATGACTGGTCAACAGAAAATATCCAAACTGAAATAGAAAAACAAATGGAAGATACATCTGGATATAATGAAAAGTAATTTATATGAACTTTTTTTTTTTTTTTTTTGGTGGAACCAGGGATTGAACTCAGGCCCTTGCACTTGCCAAGGAAGTGCTTATTCCACTGAGCCATCTCCCCGGCCCCGATATGAAAACATTTCAGTGACCAGTCTATAGCAAAGAATTATACCCATTAATTATCAATAAGTTGGTTCTAGTTTATAACATTAAATATCCAGACACCTATTGAACTCATACACAAAGCAGTATGCCAGGCATGACAGTACATACCTGTAATCCCAGTACCCCAGAGGCTGAGACAAGAGAGACTGCTAGGAGTATGGGGGCCAACATGGGCTGCAAAGCTATATAGTGAGTTCAAGGCCAGCCTGAATGGCACAGAGAGACCCTGTCCCAAAAAACGCCACCTCCTCCCCACAAAAAAAAACTTAAAGGAACAAAGCAATCAACTAAGCATCAGAGGTACACAGATATTTAAAGAGACACAGCCCCTGCCCTTGAGACACTGTCACGGAAAATAGAGGAATAATGCTTAAGCCATTATTAAGAGTGAAAAAAGGCCAAGCCTGGTGGCACACACTGGAATCCCAGAATTTTGGAAGACTGAGACAGGAGGATTTCAAATTTGAGCCTGGCCTAGACAACTCAGCAACTTACTAAGGCGCTGCTTTAAAAAATAATAATAATAATATTTAAAAGGGCTAAGGATATAGCTTGGATCCAAAGCCCTGGTTTCAATTTCTAGTACCAAAGTATGAAGAAGACTTATCAGTATTTAGGAAGCAGGTATGAGGTGGGAAGTTCATTTTAAAGGAAATAGTTACAAGCATGAAGTGCAATATGAACACAAAATGTAGCAGGAAAAAAACAATTTTACTATATCTGGACTAGAATACAGGAACAGTAGTAAAATGAAATTCGCAAGCATATGTTAGCAAGAACCAGATAATTATTTGCCATGTGAGGACAAGAGTGGTTTGAAGAACAAATGCTGCAAGATCCCTATGAAGTCTTGGAAGGTACACCGTGTTTCACAAAGTAACATATTGTGGAGGACCACTTGTGACTCCCTTGAAAGAGCAATTATCTCCACCTTGGCTAAATCTGGCCCTATTTCTGTATACTGATAAGTGTATAGCTGGCTAAGTTTTGTTTTCATCCCCTCAACTGGCTTTTAGCAATGCAAATGAGTGTAGGGGAGGGACTGAAGTACAGTTTCTGAAGCGAAGCAACAGATCAGTGTTGCCCTATCTGTAGCTTTTAAGAAATATTTGTAAGCTGAATGACAGCGCCATGTTGGGCTCAGACTGAGCCTTGAAATAAGAGGCTATGATCTCTCAGGGCATATCAGGTTATACACCAAAGCAAAAGCACCAACCCCAAAACATGAGTTTCTACCTGTAACTCTGTTATTTACATATATATTTCTCTCTGCATATTGAAGGGGTATTTCAGGCCTCCTACTTAGCCCACCTCAGGACACTCACTGTATTTCCCACCACTCTGTCACTCATCCACAAACTATTCTCCTCTTCATGAATTAATAACCTAGGTTTGGCCCTGTGTTGAGGCCTTTGTTCCAATTAGCCATTATATTAGCTAGACTTAGGACCCCTTGACACCCCACAATTACATATATGCCTTAGTGTCTTTATTCTCACCATGCATTGCACTAGCAGTGGTAGACTAGAATTAACTTGCTAGAATTCCAGTAATTTTTCCATAGGATCACAAATGTGGATTTTTCTGGACCACATAGAGATCTAGAAGGTCTTACTATATACTATATACCTTACAAATGTCAGGTCACCTGAACAAATTTTAAAATATTCAATAAGCTAAACACACCATGACATTTTAGGTCCTTTATAAATGGATTCAAACATCTTTTACAGTCTTAGCTACTTGACTTCTCAGTTTACTAAATATACCCTAAATTTCACATTTCCACAACTTACACAAGCATATCTTACACAAGCCATTTATTCTTCCAATGTGGCATCCTCAAATTCACTGGCTAAGGAACCACCAATCATCTCAGATATAAAGTTTTTTTTTTCCTAGTGCATTTCAAAACATTTTGCTCTAACTTCTTTCACATTGTACCCACAGGATTAATTTATAAAATCTTTGTTCAGTACTTCATAGGCTTTAGGCACTGTTCTAGGCATTTGAAATGCATCACTGAACAAAGAAGATACAGATCTTTACCTTTTTAAAGCACATGCTGAACATTCCAAGAAGGTTAAAGACTGAGAAATCATGTTTAATTCAGAAAATTTTTAAAAGATGAGTATACGAGGGATGATCAAAAACTAGAGGATGTATGTAAATTTTTTAAATGTGTAATCACCATTATACACCCAAAATATTGCCCCTTCCTGCAAATATTTATTCCACTACCCTTGTCACTTTTTTAAAAACTTCTGGAAGTTCTCTTTCATGTCTTACTATAATAAACTTTTAAAAATATAAATATTCATTACATTTTTCAATGACTTTCAAAATATTCCATGATTCTATTATGCTTCCCTCCAACTGATCCAACCTAGGCTGAGGATTACTAGCAAGTATTACAACAAACTTATAATGAAAGCCAAAATTTAGAACAAGAGAAACACATAAGATACATTAGTACATTTTCTTATATAAATTCTTACTTGTCTTTTCCTCTAAGTGATTAACTTTATCTCTGGATTCTTCTAGAAGAAATGTTAACTCTTTCATTTTATTTTCTTTCTCAGTGCTTTGGAGCAACAGTAGTGATACCTAAAACAAAAATTTTTTTAATTACAGATATAAAAAGTTAAATACGGCATCTTAGCACTTATCCACTACTATTAGCTTACATGTTAGTTGCTACTATTAGCTACTAACAGCTTAGATTGCTGTTTCTGGTATTTAATTCATGATTGCTTGAGCATATATTCAATGAGGAATCCATAAACAAGCTTGTATTATATACCAAATATAATAGCATGTCTTTCAAGTTGTTATTGAGATTATATAATAAGTTTATTAATTCAATAAATTTTGCTGAACACCAAAAACTGTAAGTCTTGAGTATACAGAGATGATGGAATTTACCTTCAAGAAACTGAGTACCTACACTGGAAGACACACAACCACACCAGAGTAGTATCAGTAATAGGACAACAATGTTACAGGAATCAGGAAAGGAATTTCTAAATCGGTCTTGGGGAAAGTAACAAAAAATTAATTCTCAAAGAACTACATTGAGTCTTGACACAGAAAAATCAGGCAAAGATGAGGAAATAAATATTATAGGTTGATATAAGAACATGCCTAGACTACTGTGATAAAATCAGCATGGTATTGGCATCAAAATAGACCTGAGGATCAATGGAATAGATTAGAAGACACTGAATCCCCTATGGACACACTCAACC